CGGGGGGGGGGGGGGGGGGCAGTCTGGGGTCTCGTGGTCAACCATGCCACATTCAGTTCAAAATCAAATCCCGTTTGCTTGAGTAATAAGAGGCACATCGAAACAATAATGGTCATTAAGTGCTGGGAAAAAGTAAGACAGAGAGAAAAAACAGAGGGAAAGTAAAGAAGTAAGATCTACTAGTATAACAAAAAAATGTGAGAGCACCTAGCACTTCATTTCACACAATGTGTATTTGTGCGAGTGTGTGTATTTGCGAGTACATATGTGGGTGGGTATGTGTGTGTGTGTGTGTGTGTGTGTGTGTGTGTGTGTGTGTGTGTGCGGGTGTTCATGAGTATTTGTGCTAGTGTGTGTATTTGCAAGTACATATGTGGGTGGGTATGTGTGTGTGTGTGGGTGTTCATGAGTATTTGTGCTAGTGTGTGTATTTGCGAGTACATATGTGTGTGAGGGTGAGGGAGTACGTACTTGTGTTAGTGTGTGAATTTGTGAGTACACGTGTGTGTGTGTGTGTTCATAAGTATTTGTGTGTGTGTGTGTGTGTGTGTACGGGTCTATGTGTGCGAGAGTATTTGAGTGTGTGTGTTTGAGTACATATGTGTGTGGTGTGTGTGTGTTCATAAATATTTGTGCGTGTGTGTGTGTATATATGTGTCTATGTGTGCGAGTGTATTTGTGTGTGTGTGTTTGAGTATATATGCGTGTAGTGTGTGTGTGTGTGTGTGCATGTGTGTGTAAATATGTATGAGCGAGAGAGAGCGCGTGTGAGAGAGCAATGAAACTATCTGCGCGCGCGTGTCCTCACCTTGACTGAGTAAGCCAGGGACAAGGTGACGGCCAAGGGAAGACCCTCAGGTACGGCGACCACCAGCACGGTCACACCAATGATAAAGTACTTGACAAACATCTCGATGTTGCGCGTCGTGTCGTCCGCCGTCCACGATTTGCCCTTGATCACAAACTCTCTAATGCAGAACTGGACGATGAGGATGATAACCGTCAGCACCGCAATGGCCGTACCTGGAAAAAGAGGAGTTATTTTAGTTTTAGCAGCATGGATGGACAACATACTTTTCCGATCCATCCGCCATCTGGGTTCTAGCCCTTCAGCCTATATGGATGGACAACATAAAAACATGGTAGGGCCCGGGATATGGCAGAATGTCAATGGCAGCTCGCGACCGTGAAGGATGGGGGGTCGTTACATGTCAACCTCGGAGTAAGAGATGACACCTCCAGGAATCCAGGTAGTTTTAGCGAAAGTTTTACACAAAGCCAAAGATGGAACTCAAAATCATGGACAGCTCATACAATTTGCCATTCCCCGACTGATACCTCTTAAACATTTTGCTCAACCCGAATTATAGATGGGTGGATCAAATTTGTCAATCCCCTATGTGTTTGATATTTTAGTAAGAGTTTTACGGCATATGCAACACAATTAGGTCATAAAAGAGCCAAAGATTAGAAGAGTTACAAGAGAGTAACAAACTCAAAAAAAGAATTAGGAGAGATAGGACGGTAGTTGTTTAACAGAAACTTTACTTTTACTTTACTTTTTCCTTCCTCTGGTATCCCTAGGATGTCGAGAGGAGGTACAATTTTTTTAAATAGGAAAGACGGAGCAAATCACCACACCACAACACCCACCAACCACCAACGATGCCTTTGAGCAATCAGTGCCCGATGGTAGTAATAATAATAATAGATAGATAGCATTTGTATAGCGCAAATCCCCGCTCAACAGCAAGCTCTATGCGCTTCACAATCTATATTTACTCCAGCAGACCTGAGAGCATTCTGAAACAACCTTAGCTTCCTGGGAAGCATAGAGTGCAAGTGGCCATTTATAGGCGCTAAAACACTAACAGGCTGACAAGATCTTTTTCTGTCTATAGCCGGGTACCCATTCCCACCTGGGTGAAGTGAGGAAACTTCGTGTAAAGTGCCTTTTCCAAGGACACAATGTCGGATCCATGGCTCGAACCCCCAAACCAACAACCTCACGATTACGAGTCCGGTAGCCTAACCACTACACTACCGATGCCACCGGCGGTACTTTCTATCGACTTACCAGCATATCCAATCTGAATGGCCAACCTCGTCAGCTTGGACTGCAGGACAGACTTCTCCTTCCTGGAACCTCCAGACTTGGCCTTGGCCTCATCAGCACCCTCCACCATGTCCCCGGATTCATCACCCTTGCTGCTAACCTGAATGGACAGAAAAATTAGTCATTACCATCATCATCATCATTGTAGACTGCAAAGAGACAAAAAACGGTGGAGACTTATAAGAATTTACGGCATCTTAAATGATGATCATCATTATCATCGTCTTCATCATATTCATCAGTGCCTTTCTCACCCTGCACTAGAGTACAGGTCACGAACTAACACTTTCCACCTTTCCCTAACCTGGGCTAGTTTCTTGACATTACTCTGTGTCTTCACATTTTTGTGTATAAGAAATTAGTAAATGTGAGGCGTGCTGACAAAATGAGTTACTTCTCGCAATCCACAAATGGAGATATTGGCCAAAAATCGACAGTAGGGTCAAATTTGTAGATTTTCAATTGATGCCATATTCTTTAACCTGTCTTTTATTGTTTCATACTTTTAGACTGAAAAAACTTCACCTATAAGCGTGATTTATCTATATCTTTAAGGCTTGAATCTAAGAAGTAACTCGTTTTGTCTGCACGCTTCACAAATAGTTTTTAAAAAAATATTTTAAAAAATAATTTACAAATTTACAAGTCGAAAAGAAGGGCGAATAAGTCCCTTGTATATTCTAATCCCAATCTTTCTTATACTTGCATTTAGTCTTAGTAGGAGTTTCTCAGCTCTTTTAATAGAACTGGATCGATAACAATAGAGAGTGGCATACAAAAAAAAGAAGGACGGATAAGGATAACAGATGTTTGATTGGAAAGAAGAAGAAAAGAAGAACGGATAAGGACAATAGATGTATGACATCTGATAGGAAACAAGAAGCAAAGCACATCAGAGTACCCGCCAACCGCCCACTAACCTGGTTGTTGGGTCCATCGCTGTGAGCGTTGCTGGCGCCGTGTGAGTTGTTTCCCTCATGGATCTTCAGCTGGATGCGCTCAATGTCAGCTGCGGAAACAGTTGTCACCCGATCAACAGACAGACCAGTACATGAGCCGGTGTGTGCGTGTGTGTGTTTAGTTTAGTCTTAGTTTTAGGATGAGTTTTACGGCACTTGCAACACTATAAGGTCATACATAAGTGTTGAAGATCAGATGTGTTACAGAGAGTAACAAACATAATAATATTTAAAAGAAGGAGAGATCAGGAGTATAGGACGGTGCCTGTGTGCGTGCGTGCGTGTGTAAATATGTGTGTGTGTTTTATTTTTTTTCAGTAAAAGTTTTACTGCACTTGCGACACAATTAGGTCATGTAAGTTTCGACGAAGATTAAAATTGTTACAAGACAGTAATAAACACAAAAAAGAAGGAGATGAGGTCGACAGATATCTGATAGCCTGAAAGAAGGAGGAAACCACACCAAAACATTCACCAACCACCCACTGTGTGTGTGTGTTTGTGTGTGTGTGAGTGTGTGTGTGTGTGTGTGTGTGTGTGTGTGTGTGTGTGTGTGTGTGTGTGTGTGTGTGTGTGTGTGTGTGTGCATGTGCATCTGTGCAGGTAAATGTTTTTACACTTGAGCCTGTGCATGTGTGTGCTTGAATGAATGGGGAAGGGGATAACTCTCTGTTTAAATAAAACAACAAGACACGGATTGAAACAACCAACAGAAATTTCGGGTGTAACTGCGCAACATTCCCTGAAGACAAAAATCAGAAACGCAGCAGGACGCAACGGCAACAGTCACTTCAGTTAAAAACAAAACACCACATGGTAATCGCTTCAAAAGCGCCCCCATCATGTACAAGGGAAGATCTGCAACAAAGACAGAGGTAACTTTTCCTCCAAATCATTTCGTAAGAAACAAGTCCACATATTACTACCAAAAGGTAAATCAATTGGCCACCCAGAGCAGCAGCAATGGGGGGGGGGGGGGGGGGGGGGGGGGTTGGTAGAAACCCGAAAGTGGGCACTCTCCCATCTTTTATAAAATAAAAACAAAAAGATAAGTCCGGGAGAACAAATTAACGATTTTGAGGGACGAAAAGACAGCAAAGAGGTAGACCTGTATTTTTTTTTACATCTAGTCAAAGACAAACAAGACAACGTTTTGCCAAGGACAGATTTGACGATACAATTGGGATGGAAAAATACGTAGAGCGAGTAGCCCGTACACTAAAACAGCACCCACAAACCCCCCCACCCCCCAAACAGGACAATGTAGGTCATAAGTCCAAAAGAAGACATAAAGAACAGAAAGCTCATCTGGCTTTCTCAACATTGTCATGAGAGCAACAGGCAGAAGAGAACGAACAGCAGCAACAAAGACCACAGTTTTCAACGAGTGACAGCTACTGTGGAACTCTTCAAAAACCACCTCAAAGACCAGCAAGCTGAAACTACTACACGTAAAGTACTATAAACTCATTATAATACTGAAACTAAAGACCATCTCCCCAGGTCCGAATGATTCAGAAACTCCTCAAAGAAAAAGTTGTCGTAACAATGAAAATTCCCAATGCCTTCCTTTTTGCAATCTTCCTTCC